AGTGTATTATGTAATAATGTATTATTTTACAGTACATACACGTTCTCCAGAAGAGTGTGTATACCCACCTTAAAGTGTGGAAACACTCACTTTTGAGAAAATTTTCCCTGCCAACAGGGAAATGTGGGGTATGTTCATAGGATAATTGGCTAAAACTGCTTAGTCCTAACTACCCATACCTGAATTGAGAGCAATGGTACCTTTCTCTCTCAAATGCCAGCACTGGAGATTGAGAGAAGGTGACTTGACTTCTAATGCAGGTTGCTGCAGGGACAGGGTCGTTTTGTTAATCCTGTCCCTTGCATGGAGCAGTCCTGCAGGCTGCCATGGTTGGGATCACTGCCTTGTTCCAAGTGCTGAGGAGGCACAGTGTGACCAGAAGACACCTCCTGCTCCAGTCTGTGAGACAGGTGTCTAGCCCCCTGCTTGGGGAGCTTGCTCCCTCTGCTGATCTGTTTAGCTCTATGTGTTTTTCAGGCAGCCTGCAGAAACCAGTAACTACCTGCCTATGGGGTTTTAGGAAACAGGGCAGAGGGAGGGAGGCATTTTTGCCAGAGAGGTCATTATGTATCATCATGTGGGGCATCTCATGCCCAGGTGTGTGCCAGGTGGGTGGCACTGTTTGTCAGCTGCTTCTTGAGAAAATTGCTTCAAAATGCAAGGTGTTAAAAAAAAAGGGTCAGTCAACCCATGGAGATAATTTTTTAAAAAAAGGGAAGTAGAAAATGCCCTTTGGGTTGTGAATGTTATCAAAGAGCTCTGTGTGGTCAGTGCTCTATTTTTATTCTCTTGTCGTGTCATGGCACAGACAGATGTTGGAACTTTCTGGGTCTCTCATATTCCACTCCCTGACTATGAGGGTCATGTTTACTGCAAAGGACTTCCCATCAGGCTCAGTGGGAAAGCTCTGGTGTGCTACTCACCTTGCACTTGGTTCAAGGGTACACTGAAGGGTTCTCCTTACTTGGAAGCTGCCTGAGACTGCCAGGGTGTGAAGACTGCCAAACCAAAATCCTCACTGTTACCAGGGTGTTTCAAACAAATACTGGTGTTGAAATGTTTTTGCCTAGGATTGCTGGATATGCCTGATCTCCTGATGTGTTCCTGTCTTGCAGGAAGGCTGCCTACGACTCCTCAGATCCTGGTGAAGGGCTTATGAACCTTTTAAAAAAGATTTACACGGACGGGGATGATGAGATGAAACGCACCATCAACAAGGCCTGGGTTGAAAGCAGAGAGAAGCAGTCCAAAGGGGAGACACCAATGGATATTTGAAAGCACTCTGAGGGCTGCCTTAATACTGATCTTCCATGTGAGATGTGCTGTGCTGCAAAGATCATCGTTTACACCACCTTCTTCCAAGCAAAGACAGTCACTTTCCATTTCAGGTTGGAGAAAATATTTAAATAAAATAGCTTATAAAGCATTTCCTCCAGTCAAGTGGTTCACCATTTCCTGAAGAGTGGAGTCTAGGTGTGTCCTTATCCCTCCTTGAGAAAGCATCTCAGATGAGTGGAGAGTTGCAAAACTGAGAACAGAACGTAAAAGAAAAGGAATCCTAAACTAGGATAGTCACAGCCTCTCTGGTGGAAGTGACAGGTGTGCCCCTCTGGTTGCTGGGTTTAATGTCACACTCAGTATGTGGGGTGTTGGTTTTTAATTTCATGTGGGAAGATCTGTTGAACTGTAAAGCTTGTCACAGAGAGAGGAACACTGAAGATGGCAGAACCACTATCTCAAGCACTTGCTAGTTGAGCAGAAACAACCTGGTGTTAATCCTTTGGTATTAAAAAATCAGTGATTACTCTCAGGACCTAATTACTGGCTGTTGAACCAGTTTAATTTTGAAAATGAAAGCAGCTCTATAGCACCTGTGCTAACTGTGACCTCCTTGGGGGTGTCTTTGAGGTGGCAGGAGGACAGTGAGTTTGCCCTGGCTGTAGCAGTTTGAGAAGAGAAACAACCTCAGATTTCTCCAATCAGCTTGCAGGAGTTCTAAGGTAACAGAGTATATGGAGGCAGCTTATACTCCCAAAATTTGACTGAAAGGGGGTGTTGGGTTGCTGTCAGTTTGCTTGCCTTCCATCTGGTGGTAGCAGTTTTACTTGGCTTGCTCACAGCAGCCTCAGCCCCACTGCTAGCGAGGGGGGCACAGCAGCCACTTCCCCTTCACTGCCCTGCTTTGAGGAAGAGTACAGGGCAAACGTGAGCTTGGCAGCAGGCCTGTTGCTGTTCCTGTGTTTTCCTTCCTGCATCCTTCTCATGTCTCTCCCAAGGACAGGTTAGTTTTTTGCCTAATGAATTAAAGAAGCCATTAGTCCTTTATTATGTTCTGGACTAGGATGTACTTGCTACCGTGTTCTCAAAGCATCGGACCAAGCACCACAAGCAGGAGGCAACTACTGGCATGTTGTAGTTTGTAACAGATCCTTTGTCTGCTTGTTAATATACATACATAAAATGTTTAGTAAGAGTATCTGAACTCAAGGCCATGTTTTATTTTCAGTTTGTGCTCACCCCTGTTCGTGGCAGAAGGCCACTCTGCCCTGTTGTGCAATTTATGCTTTTACCCAAGTTACCCTGGTGAACGTACCGAATGGTGGCAAAAAAACTACTCAAACGAGCCTTCTGCTGTATGTCTTTATTTCTGATGTTGCCCGTATCACAAACCTCAGCTTAGTTCTGCAACCATCAGGTGGTGACTTCTTATCCTCAGGGTAAAACTGTCCCTCATACAGAGCAGTTCAGCAGAGTTTTGCTGCTTCTGTTCAGCTGAGACTAATCACAACCCAGCACGTTCAATGAATCATCATGGCACCTCATCCTTTCCCTACCAGTTTAATACAGATGCTGGACTCCTTGACAGGAACACAGAGGCTGAACCCTCTGTGTGTGTCCTGCCTGCCCATGCAGTGAGCTACCACATAGCCCTCTGTATCCCAGACATCTCGGCGTGGTCAGCGAAGTGCCGGAAGACGATCCTGCTGAGCCTCCAGCGCCGCTTCACGCCCCGCGGGCGGGAGGTCAGGATGCACCTGTTGTGGATCCTGGAAGGGCAGCTGTCCCGAGGCAAGCTGGCAATCTCTTTATCAGCCACTTCCTAAGACAGGAGACCACAGCACAATAGTTTTTCAGTGTTGCCCAGGATTTTGAGGGGGCTTGTTGCCAGGCCTCCAAACCTGCTTTTAGAGGAGGTACCACCAGGAGCTTCTCTGCCTCCTCATGACTCTGCTTCACTGTTTGATAGGGAGCTTCCCTCATTCAACCCCATTTTCTGGGCATCCTAACAGTGAATGTGAAATGATTCACATGGAGACACCCAAAGTTAACCTCATTACACAGACTGAGCAACCTCAAGCCAGTAGTTAATCAAAAATCAATGTGGGCTTCTCCTTGTTGTAGGGTGGGCCGGTCCTTTAAAATGAACTGGGTTTATTAACTGCCTTCCCAGGTAAACATCCTTTGCTGTCAGTAAAAGGAATGTAATACAGTGCACCCCAGAAAGAGTTACAGCCAGGAAGATAAGTCAAAGTGTCTCTCCTAATAAGGCTTAAGAAATTCCTTTTCCGTGTCCAGCGAGAGGGCTCATCAGTTTTCAGGGAACCCCAGGTTGCAGCTAATGGAATTTTGGAAGAACAAGTGAGCTCAGCAGACAAATGCTGCCTAAAGGAAGTGGCCTGAGGTTAGGGAAGTGTCCCTAACTGCAGCATTCTTGATAGATTATTTTGTGAAGGACAGAAGAGCTCAAGGAATCCTCTGTTCAGTCAGGGAAGGAAGCTGCAGCTGGAGGTAAAGGGAAGGCCTGAGGCTGGACTACAAACACTCCCACTGTGCTGCAGGAGTGCTGGAAAGCAAGAAGGAATTCCTGCAGGAATGTTCACCTTCAAAGGGGGACAGCACTGAGCAGCACCGTGATTTTCAGCAACAGCAAGGTCTGCAGGACCCCCTGTCTGGTATTTCTGGGTTTGTCCAGTTGTGCATCTTACTCTATATACAGCTGTGTGTGTGTATATATATCTATATACACATACACACACTATAGGCACTACCTGGTACAACCAAGCACTTGCAGTATTTTTTTTTGCCTATTCAGTTCCTACACTTTTATTCAGCAAGCAGCCTTGTAGAGAAAACTTGCAGCTTAAGAGTTTAAATTTTGGAGGCCAAGTAACATTTTGTAGGGGAAGGAAAAGTTACTTTCCCGGAATCTTCTCCTTCAATCTAACTGCTGCTATGACTTTGTGACTTGAAAAGCAGCTCAGAACTACCAAAAGTAAAGCCAGTTATGTTGCATTCCTCCTCTTTATGGATTTTCTTTTTTCACCCTGAAAGGACAGCCAACCCAGAGGAGACCTGCAGTGTGTGGTGCTGCAGACAGTGCTCAGGTGAGCAGCACTGGTGTGAACACCCAGGAGAACACGCTGCTGTTCTGCCAGGGCTGGGCAGCAGTGCTGCCTTTGCCACCTGCTGAGCTTCAGGTGAGCTGGGGACAGGTGAGCTGGGGTGAAGCTACAGCTCGGAGCAGCCTGCAGCAGCAGCCCTGGGGCTGGGGGCACAGGGACCAGAGTCCCCACAGCTCCTGGGGGTCTCT